CACATCCTTGATAGAGAGGAACGATGGTTTGAGAGAGGAGTAAAGGAGGCTATCTTTGTGAAAAGAAATCGTCCATCATTAAACAGGGGTGGAGGCTTCCGTGTCCAATTGTCTCCTTACAATGCTGCTATTGCTAGTATCACTCAGCCTGTTGCAAATAGCAAGCAGCCATCAGATGACTAGCGATCAATTGTTATGCTGAAGGTCTTCCTTTAACATGTGAACAACTAGTTTTGGCTGTCGCCAGCAGACTGTTTGATCCACAAGAAGGTGCTATTTATAAGACCGAGTTTGATGCAGCTCCTCAGACTGAAGAAGTCTTTTGGATAAAAGACTAAACGTTTCAACAAGAAGAATCCGTCCAGAGGACCTGACTCAACCTTGTTAGTTTTATCTACCTGGACTATTGAGCATGGATCAGAATTTTTCAAAGGTAATTCTAAAGTCATGTCATGTTTTGATAACTTCATCTATTATTTTCAGACATACAGTATATTGTTTAAGCTTTAGCAAAGAAAAAAATGAAAAAAGATGTGAAAACAGTTTTTCTACAATGTTTCTACTACAGGAAGTTACTGTAAGCCTACTTGGATAGACGACACCGAGAAGCTACCACTCTGCTGATCCTCTTAACTTGACAACACAAAGTTAACAAAAACAAAATCCATTTTTTAACATTTGAAAATTGATTTGGTCACTTCATTGTCGACGGTGCCTCTAAAAATGGATTTGACCTCCCACCCCAAGTTCCATTTGCCTCAAATGTCAAATCTAGGAATGACATTTCTCCTGAACTAACCTTGTTCCAGTTCCAGGTCATGAAGCCAAAGGGATTTGTTAATTGTGCTCAGTGACCAGGCCAGCTATTCTTAGCAGTACAATCTGTTATCAATGTATTTCTATGCTTTTTATGCATTCAAACCCTATAGCAACAAATGTTCTGATAGAGGCTGTATAGTACTGTGTGAGTAACCGCCTAAATGAGATACAAACTATTAGAAGTACAAATGGATAATTACCATAGCTACTGCTGCTCTCATCACAGTTTTTGCACGCAGCAGCCATTAGAATTGTTGAGTTGAGGGTTGGTTAGAAACTTCCCATTTTCCAAGTTAGAATTCGGAAAAGTTGCACTTTCTGACTCAGAAGTTGGAAATTCCAACTTCCTTGTACAAATGGGACACAGCACCCTGGTTTCAACATGAAACCTAAACAGCTTTTTGTTTCGTTTTGGTTTAGTGCACAATAAATTAGGTTGTTTATATTTTTATTTAACCACCTTTTCTTTGTCTTTGTGCAAAATGTTTCTCAAAAAGTTTCGTTAACAGTATCCTGTAAAAGGCCAAAATTCCAATAAGGACTGTGTAAGTGAAAAATACATTTCCATGGCAACAAAGATAATTTCTAAAACTCTGTTTTTAGCAATGTGTAGGACAATTCCTGTCAAGTACAGGAAACTGGTCATATCTTAAGATATCACAGATACGAAAAACAGTTTAATTGTTGTCAGTCTGGAAACGCGTCATCCGTAGTTTAATGATTTTGCCTCTGGGGCAACTGCCAGTTTGTTTTTCCAGTGCACCCACTGGTGTAACACAAAAAACATTAAAAAGCTTCCGGGAACTCCAGAACAAGGACAGTTTTATCTGTGGACTAAAATGTTAAGGTTAAAACTAAAGTTAAGAAAAAACATTTAAAAAAGGTGTTTGAGTTAGTTTAGCTGAAGTGCTATGTGTCTTGTTCTCCACAAGCCTGCTCACTCCTGTTGGATCAGTCCTACGTAACTGCAAGAAGGAAAAAAAAAATTACAAAACGTCCGTTAGTTACTACTGATGTCTATTTTTAGAGCTAGGTAGTAAACAGTATTTCCTCTCATCTTTCTTTTGAAAAGCTTTAAATTATATGTTTTAATTATAATGAAAGGCAAGAAGGCTGGAGACAGAACTGGAAGTGGCAGAAGTGAAGATGTTAAGGTTCTCCTTAGGAGTGACAGTAAGATTATGAATGAGATCATCAGAGGTACAGCACAGGTTGAACAACTGGGAAATAAAGTTAGAGAGGCCAGACTGAGATGGTTTGGACATGTCCAGAGGAGGAACAGTGGATACATTGGTAGGATGTTAGAAATGACAATAGGTGATATATGGATGCAGTTAGAGAGGACATGCAGGTAGTTGGAGGGAGGACAGAGGATGCAGAGGACAGCATGAGACTGAGGAGGATGACTTGCTGTGGTGACCCCTGAAGAGGGAAAGCCAAAATACTTTGTAATAATAAGAAGAATGAAAGACAATTTACAGTCTGATGAAGATGATTTACAGACTGATGAAGTCCTTTGGATGAAGGACGAAACATTTCAACTAAAAAATAAACCGTCCAGAAGACCAGACCTAATTTTGTTAGATTTTGTACCTGGATTATTGAACATGAACTTTGATGTTTTGAACTACTTTGGCTATGGCTGCCTCAGAGGAGTCGGCGGGGAAGAGGGCGAACTCCAGAAACCATCTTATCACCATGAAACTGGTTGTCCCACTATGTGAGTAAGCCACTTATGGAACTGAGTTTGTTGTGGCTCCTCAGATTGATAAAGTCCTTTGGATGAAGGATGAAACATTTCAACAGAAAAAGAAACCATCCAGAGGACCCGACTTAACTTTGTTGGATAGTAATCTTTTGTTTTGCAATTTACATATTTAGACTAAAGTTAATTTAACCTGACTTAACTTGGATTTTTCTACCTGGATTATTGAGCATGAATCAGGATACTAAAGTTAACCGTTTCCTTATTTTATATCATAGAAAATACAACTTGAGATGAACAACACATGACAGCCATGAGCAATTTATTTCAGAATAATTTAATCAAAAATGATGAACAAGCTTGTGCAGAACATGCTGAGGAGATGGTTCATTCATTTGAATTAAGCGTGTTGCAACGAGGAAAAAGCTTAAACCTAAGCAATAGTGGCCCTCGAGGAGGGGAACTGAGAAAACATTATGCTCTAATGCATGGCTGAATTTCAGCCAAGCTCCAATTATCAGATACAGTATATGACTGTTCATATCAAACTCAGAGTTGACACAGAGTCTGCATGGTGCTCAGATCCTGTGGCTCAAAAACAATCCCAAATCATCAGACTTTCACCATCGTGCTTGACGATGTCAACGATGTTATGGTGTTTTTGGTCGGCTCCAGCCATGGCACGTTGGTTTTTATAAGCCTAACACGTATTGCCATGTTCTTTCTTTCCGTGCAAGTCTGAACTTGGTTTGAAGTTGCTGGGAAGTCCACTTTAATGAAGAATTGCCAGATGTTTTGAATGTTTCTCACTTGTGAATCATCTGTCTCACTGCAAAATGATGGTGTCAAATGTTGGGAAATGGCACTGCCGCTCTCTCTAAAATGATGGGCAGCAACAGTTGCTTATTTAAGATCATAGCTCTTAGGGATTTTTAACAGGCAGCTGAACGCTCCAAACCAGTAAACTGAAAAATACTTCTGCTCTTACTGCAGTGATTGCAGTTAATAAACTGCATTTAAATACCAGCATCTAAACCAGAATCAGAATAAGCTTTATTATCACTGTACCGCGATACAGTGAGATTATGTTTGTACAGTCGTCTGAAAGATGGGCGGAGTGCACGTTGCTGCTGCTACAGGAGCACGGCCTCTTATTCTTTATCAGAATAATTTTTTAGATAGACAAAGGTAAACGGCCATGAAGATGGATAGTTGTATTACTAAAATATCTCTTCACATCTTGCCCTATCTGGACACAATTTAAGACGTCAAACAACTCTACCAGCAGCACATTTATAAACACATTACATATGCATTTGACATCAAGATGGTGAGATTTGTCCATGAAGCACTTCCAGATAGGCCATAGTCCTGATAAGATGTTGGTCAGCCGGCAGTTCTGATAAGCCTGCACAGAAGTTATTGGGGGCATGGGTGGTGCGATAGACGAAGCTTTTTTCCTTAGTTACTCATGTCCCAGGAGACATTTGATAGTCGGCCTGCTTTCAAGGCCAAATGGGAGAGTCAGATTCAGATAAACCACAATTGTTGATTTTCTTCAGGCACACTGTTTTTTTTTCTTTTTTTTCTTGTCAGCCTTGAGTCCTGCTGGTACTTTCAAGATCCAAAAATGGACAGATTTGTGGGCATTCCACTGATCCGTGCTATGAGCCTCATCCAAGGTCGTTTCCAACATGCTGGCGAGTTCTAGAAGCTGCAGGTGGCCTGCAATTCTCACAAATCGCTTTCATCTTGTGGTTTAGCTTGTAAATCAGCTGATTTTGAGTACTTGTAGTATGAACCAAACCTTCACACAGACTTGGCAGTTTTGTCATGGCCAAAACTGCTGCCAATATCTTCCTCAAAAGCTGATAACAAAGGAACCCACCGATGCCAAAAAGCAGAAACCCTGCTATCATGAATCCAATTATATAAATGCCTTTGTGTCCTCCTAAGACAGAGCAGAAAGACACATCAGCACCCACAACCCCCACAGGTCCATGACATATCCTGCAGCGTGAGTCTCAGCGGGACATGAGGGCTCTCCAGGACCCTGTCGATTTATTGAAAAGATTTTGTCAATTTTGTTGAAAGTCCAGCTCACCAGATCCATAATGGCATTTTTCGTTCAGAAGATGTGTAACAGGAGCTCTGAGACACAGTGATATTTTATCCTAATTTATACGGAACATTGGGTGTTTTAGCCTAATGTTGTCAACAAGGTTTGAGCAAAACGACTACAACATATTACCTTCTCAAAATTAGATGATTTTAGTTTGAAACCGGCAAGAAAGGTGGTGTGCGATATGCATTCTTTCAAGGAATGTTAGGTCTTTATTTTGTAATTGTCACAAACTCAAAATTACTGTATTTTTAACACCATGCTCTCTCTTTTTCAAAAGCAGGACGTCTGTAATGTACGGATAACCTGTTCTGACTCAAAATGGCACCCGCTTTTTTGTTTTGTAATCTCCAGGTTCAGTGGTGGTGCCTGTGTCCAACACAGTTTTTCCCTATGGACCTCAGGGTGGGCGAGCGGGGGATGCGCCCTGGTTCGGACACGGCGCTCCTCACTCCTCTGCACCCACCTTTACTCCTCACACCCTTCTCCCCACAAGCCCGCTCCTCCTTCTCCCAGCAGCAACTGCACCAGCAAATCAGGGTAAAGGACACAAATATAAAAATGGGAGAAAATCCTGAGAAATAAGAGGTGTAAGGATGATCAGCTGTCTGTATGTTGCTATATTATGCATGTGTGTGTTTGTGTGGCTAGTTTAACATGGAACAAAGGAGGCGAGAGCAGGAGCACCATGAGAAACAACAGGAGTTGCAGCAACTAAAACACAAAGACAAAAGTCAACAGAGTGAGTCCATGCACACACTTTGTAAAACCTTTTGACGTGCTCCTGCAAGTTTTATTTAACATCCCAAGTTGCCATTCTTTGTGATCTTACTGTGTCACCTTTAAAATAATTCTGAGTGGTAGTTGTGGCCAGAGAGGAAAGTCCCTGCAGAAGGGGTGTAACTTTGGACAGGGATGAACTGCGTCACTTCGTTTTCAGTCCGTTTGCTGTGAAACAAGGGCTAAAAATAACCTGACAAGTGGAGCTTCAACAGCGGAATTAAATATAGTGTTGGGCTCGAGCAAATAAAGTCACTGGGTCAATATTGACTTGATCACCCCTAACACCTGCTGTCACCTCTACGTGCATACACACAAATAAACACAAGAATATCAGCAAACAGACGCTCAAACAAACTTCTGACCTCACAACTCCACACATATTTGTTTACCGACACATGCATCTTCTTGATCCCATGTTTGTCCCCAATTGCGTCCTGCTAACACGTGTTCTGTTTATTGCAGTAGATGTTGCTAATGTCTTCTTTGGTGTTTGATTGGTCGTTGTCGTGGATGGACAGGTGCCGTGGCCAGTTCGCTGGTGAAACAAAAACTCCAGGAAGTGATTCTCAAGAAGCAGAAGCAGGCGGCGCTGGAAAGAACAAACTCTAACCCTCTGACTCCACATCCTGTACCGTACAGGTGACACACGACTCTGAATGTCATCATAAACCCAAAGTACAACCTCAATGCTAACAAAGTGGGGCGATGCGTAACACAAAAAAACATTTGACGTGTTTACTATGTTCTGCTGTAAATGAAATATGGTTTTATAACATTTGCAAATCATTGCATTCTTTTTTGTTTTCATTTTACACACATACCCATCTTTACAGAAATGGGGTTATAAATTATAGTAGGCCCTCGCTACTTTGCGGTTCGACTTTGCTCTATTGCGGTTTTTCAAATTAAGATTGGACATGACACACAATTGGCTGATTGATGGATGAGCCACATGATCTGCATTAAATTTGTATTTAGTATAAATTATTTTAAATTATTTAGCACCTGCTGCGTACAGCCCACAGCTGCAGGATAAGCTTCCTCCTGCAGCTGTGTCATATCTCTGCTCTGCAGCCGAGAAGTGGGCGTGGCCAAGAGCGCTGGCAAATGGCAGAGAGCTAAAATGCTAAAATACTAAAATAAATTCTACTTACCACTTGTACTACTATTCCTACTTTGCGGTTTTTCACTTATCATGGGGCTTCAGGGTATGGCTCCCCAGCGATAAACGAGGGACTACTGTACACATTTGCCACTCTTAATATAAAACTTTTAAAATCTGAATTTATCATCAATTCTCTGCTGTATTTGATGTCAATATTTACATAATGTGTATATTTATGTGTTTAAATTATTCCAGAAATCTATGTCCAGACCCCAGTGCGTCCTCCCAGGCTTTAGTTTCACCTCCTTCACAGTCGGAGGGCTCAGAGGGGACACCGCTGCGCAGAGCAGGTAAAATATCAAATATTTCATGAACCATGAAACAGGTTTTAATAAAAGGTTCAGAAATCTTAGTTATCTTCTACAACTGTTTAACTTTTGGACTCAACCTAATTCAAGATGGCTGCCACAGCTAACTGAACTTGGAAAACAAAACTGGCTATAGCTCAGCCAAGTTTATAAATGTTAAGCTAAGACTTGGTTTGGTGTTAGCTGAGCATCATCCTCAGTGCCTACTTACAGCACAACAAAAAGTGCAACACATTTGCTCGAAACCTTAGCATTAACTGTTGGGGTCTACTCTGCTGCAGTACTTAATTTGTAAACCAAACAATGCTGGAACACAAATAGCAGTCTTGGGCGTCCTCCCCCGGAATTTTTTTTTATAAATTTGATGCCGTTTCCTGCATTCTGATGTATTTTAAAGGGTTTTTAAATATCTACGTTTACCTACATTTGTAAACACTTGATTCATTAAGTATTTTAAAGAGCAACAAGAAGTAGCCTGACCAACAGCTCTCCCTGTGTGAGTAGAGCATGCTCCACTTATCTCAAGCATCCTTGCACCTGCTCCAGTATCTCCTTTGCCACTGCCTTCATGTGCTTCAGTTCTTGGTCATTCATTTGTACAATGAGAAGACTATTTTTTTTTTATTTTATTTTTTTTTAATGAAAGTAAATTGAACTGTTTTCGACATTTTGATTTTGTTTGTTTTGGTACGTGTTGCAGGTTACGTGATTACCCATCAAACATTTATCTTATTTTTAATAGATAATCAATTTTTTATTAATGACCCATTTAAACTGTAAATCTGTTTTGCAATTAAGTTGTGCAGTTTAAGTACATTTTTTCTGTTTTTAATTAAATTGCCCATGACTGTACTTTAAGGGGCAGATAATTTTTTAAGGGTAGAAGCAGGAATTCTTACTTGAAGGAACAGCTCTTATGTGATATTAAGAAGCTCGTAAGTTGCTGTTATGTTTACAATTAGTGTTTGTGTAATTATTTTCAGATTACAAGTCTAATATAGGTTTTATTCATTCAAGGCAGTTAAATTTGCTCATAACTTTAATATTAGTAAGCCTGAGAGTTACCGGAGCTAAGAAAATAGTTACTGGAACGCACCCTGTCAAAATAAGAGCGTTCCCGGATCCTGCTCTGGCAGGATTTATCTCAAATTAAGCCCTGCTCTGTTGTCACATTTAGTAACATTTTAGAGTTGCTTTAATTTTTCAGCATCTGAGCCCAACCTGAAGGTGAAGCACAAGCTGAAGAAACACCTGAACACCCGCAAGAGTCCGCTCACCCGCAAAGAAAGTGCTCCGCCCATCATCAAACAGAGAACACCGGAAGCGCTGGGTAAACCCACACCCTCTCACACACAGCAATACATGGGAGTTTATTTTTAATTGTGGTTGCTCTAAACTGCAGGTTTTATTTTATATTTGAAATGTGACTGAGATGTACAATCATGTGATCCATGTCTTTCAGCAGACTCTTCCCCCAGCAGCAGCAGCACTCCGGTCTCTGGGTGTAGTTCTCCTAATGACAGCGTTCCTAACGAGAATGGACTACTGCCATCTGCAGGCGGACTCTCACACGAGGTTAGCACCGAAATAGAACGTGCAACGGTAAATCATTGTGTTTAGACTTTAACAAAGTGCTCACTAACTGAGACGTTTAGACAACATCGGTAAATAAAGCGAAAAATCTAAAAGTGGAAAATGTTTTCTGTCTTTTTGGACATTTTTGAATAGAAAAGCTGATTTGCAAACATCGATTTTTGTGGACAATAATGAAATGTTTAAAGCAACAACAGAAGAGCTTGTTTGTCAGCTGTTTGTGCATGATTCATTTAATCTCAAAAAGTCAGATCCGAGCGACCTTCGTCACACCTGCTGTGATCTGACTCATCATCACACGCTCGGGTGGAAGAGAGGCAAATAACACTCGCTTCGGTTTCATCGCTTCACATTTTAAGTTTGATGTGCGACTGGAAATATGACAAAAATGATGTGCAGATGGAGAGAACAAACAGAAATGTATGAACTGGGATTTGTTTTGTAAATATCACATCTATTGAATTCATTTAAGGCATATTTTTATGAAGAGGTCAAGTTAAAATCATATAAAGTTTCAGTCCCTGAGTTTATGCTTTTTGTTATTAATCGTCTTTTTATTTCCAGGCCCAGAAGCTGCTGCTGAGAGACGGCACTCTGGCTAACTTCACCGTCCAAAGTCCATCCACTCTGCCCACCATCACACTCGGACTGCCGGCCAACTCACGGGTAAAAACTCCAGTTAATCAGAAGGAAATTTTTATAACCTGCCACCAAAGACAAAGGAGAAAAAGCGTATTTACCTGCGTATGTGCGGTCATTTGTCTCTAGCGTTGGCGTACGATTGCCTTAGCAAACAGAAAAATGGCTCTCTGACTTGGACAGTTTTACAGATGCTGCGCTAAACTTTGGTGTGGGAGTTCTTCCCAGCAAATACTTCAAGCTTAAGTAAGTTCATTGAAGGGCGGCTGTGGCTGAGTGTTTAGAACAGTCGTCCTTCAATGCGAACGTTGGAGGTTCGATTCCACCAGCAGTCACATGCGGAAGTGTCCCTTTGCAAGACACTGGACTCCTCATTGTCTCCGATGTGTCCCATCAGTGTGTGAATGTGATAAAGCAGTGATTAATCTCTACAGATTCAGATTAGCTTTGTAGAGATGTAGTAGAGTGCTGTATGATTGACTGTATGAATGGGTAAATGAGGCCATAGATTGTAGTGTAAAGCACTTGAGTATCTTGATCAGGTAGAAAAGTACTATATAAGCAAAGTAGTTCCTCATTTATCGTGGGGGATCTGTACCCTGAAAGCCCGTCATAAGTGAAAAACCATGAAGTAGGAAAAGTAGTACAAGTAGTAAGTAGTAGTTTATTATAGTATGTATATATAAATTATCCATCCATTCATCAATTATCTTTTACCCGCTTCTTCCATTTTTTTGGTCACGCCATGTCCAGCAATCACTGTGCGAGGGGCAGGGTACACCCTGGACGGGTCGCAAGTCCATCACAGGGACACATAGAGACAAACAACCATTCACTCTCTCACTCACACCTAGGGACAATTTATAGTTACCAATCAGCCTAACATGGATGTTTTTGGTCTATGCATGGAGAGAACATGCAAACTCCACCCAGAAAGGCCCCTGGAACGGGATTTTAAAAAAAAGTACAGAATGTCGTGATTTCAGCTTCCTGCCTCAGCTGCTCTGTGCCACCTGCAAGTGCTCTTGGCCACGCCCACTTGTCCACTCTGCATGGAGAACAGCTGATCAGCTGCAGGAGGAAGCTTATCCTGCAGTGTGGGCTGTACAAAGGTGCAGGGGGTGCTAAATAATCGAAAATTATTAATTTTAACTAAGAATCTCATGCCGATCGTGCGGCTCATCCATCAATCAGCCAATTGTGTGTCATGTCCACACTTATTTTGAAAAACCGAGACAGGGCGAGTCCGTGATAAACGAACCGCGAGGTAGCGAGGGACTACTGTACAGTCCATTTAACATCTGTTTTTTTTTTAATGTTGCCATTACCTCTTGGACTGTTTGTTTGCAAAATATCTCTAGACAAATTTTAATGAAACTTCCAGAAATCCGTTTTAATCAATTTTACAGATATCGAGTTCACATTTGGTGTGCGAGTAGCCGAGAAGCATCACAACACATACGATTCTTTTGCGCCAGATGTGCTGTGCAGCGTTTTTGCCTTAAACTTAAAATTCTATAAATTTTATCTTACCTCCGTCTGAATTTTTTTTGAAACTCAAATTAAATCTTGGAAGTACATGTTCAGCTTATATGTTCAGTCGGTCCACTTCAAGATGGTAGTGCAGCTAATTACTCAGTCGGTTTTTTATGAGCTAAATTTGTTAAAATTCTCAGCACATACTTCAAAATATGACCAAATCCTGCATTAATTAAATAAATTGAGCAAAATGTTACATAACATTTAACCAAAACTGCCACAACTCCATCCTGTCTCATCATGAAATGATCGAAGTTAATTATTCTACCATAAAATGTTGATTGGTGGACAAAAAAGTTGATAGGCTTTTTATACCTTGAATATGTTATTGGTTTTTATTATTTTTATGGTCAAATTTAGTCATTTTCTTTTTTTTAAAAAAAAGCTTTATTTTCAGAAATTCACTGCATGTTAAAAGGTATTTGTCTTGAAGAAAAAGATGGAAATTCGGTTTACAGCAATGTTAAAAATGACACAAAAACACTAAACAGAAGAACACAAGACTCGACATTAAAGATGCTGCAAGCAATTCAGAGTTCAGACACATTTGTGTAGTTGTTTAACAATCCTGTGATGGTAGTAAACGTCACCAAAACAAACAACACGGTTTAACTTAAAATGAGGATTTAGCCGATCAAGTGCATTTATTGCACTTGCAAATTTCCACTAAATACTCTATACCTTCAAGCAGATGAAGGAAAGAATCAATTTTCCCATAAAATCAGTTTAATGTATTTTATAGAGTTTTAGTTAAGCGATAAATAGATTCTGTAGTTTGTTTTTCTTTGTCCTCATGAAGTTGTTCACCTGTGTGTTCAGGCCGAAGGAGAGCTGTCTTCTCTGAAGGTCAGTCGGGTTCCCATGGTTGCTGCTGGGTGCACGCCAGTCTTCCTGCCCCTCAGCAGAGAAGACCAAGCCGGGCAGATGAACCACCACTTGCCTGTTATCATCCTGGAGCCCTCTGGACTCATCCACCCTCCGATCATCAGCGGTGAGAGAAACGCACCGATTCACACCAGCTCACACGCATCACGGCTTCAAATTACAGGCAGCTAAAACAGGAAACCAATAAATCTCAGTGGGAACAAATTAAAACGAAATGTTAAAACTCATCCAGAGTTGTGTTGAATCAAATGGACACCTTTAAAGTTGACATTCAGCAACTTTTCATTTTATTGTTTGTAATGTTAGACCACCACCCAGTGGTGACACGTTGATTTGTTTCTCACATATGCTCCCTTGTTCTAAAAACCACAACTCTTGCATGAGCTGTAAAAGTCACCTCGGCTTACAAGAAAACGTGAATTACTTTACACAGTAGGAGCAAATTAAACGTTCGCCGGGAAGAATTTGTTCTCATCTAAATGAACGTTCTGCTCCTTTTCCTCGTGTCTGTCAACAGTTCCAGGCCTGGACTCTGTTCCGTTGCAGTTCGCGCCGCAGCTGGACCACCTCTCTCCAGGAGGCGTTCAGTCCCACAAGCCTCTGAGCAGGACACGCTCGGAACCCCTCCCCCAGAGCCCCCACACACTCCACACGCAGCTACTTCAACAACAGCACAGCGCACAACTACTGGAGAGGCTCAAGCAGCAGACTAACCTGGGCAAGGTGTTACTCTAAATCAGTGCTTCTCAATTATTTTCTGTTACACCCCCCCCCCCCCCCCCCAGGAAGAAGTCAACGTTTTTAAACTGTAAAAATTTTTGACCATTTGATACTGAAAAATTAAATTAAATATAATCAATGAATAATAATAAATTCAAATTGATCAGCAACATTTTAACTCAGGAGCACAATATATAAAACACTTTGAGTCATCTGATTCTGAATGAATGAACTTTATTTAAAAAGGGGACAATGTACAACTCAAACATAAATGTCACCATTTGATACGCTGTACCAGATTATAGCAAAAGCTTATTCACAGTTGAAGTCCCATGACGAGTAAAAAAAACAAAACAATGGATATACAATGCAATAATAAGACAACGTATAACACTAAATTTATTTCAAATCACAATACACAAACATGCATGCAAACTCAATCATAGGCACACACACAGTCTTACATTTAATGTTTACATACCTGAGCAGTTTTTAAGTTTTTTTTCAAATGAAATTTGAAAACTCTCAAAGAGCTGCATACTGAAAAATAAAGTGAAATATGATCAGTAAATAATAATAAATTCAAATTGATCATGAACATTTGACTTTGTAACTCAGGAGTGTTATATAAAACACTTTGACCTACAAAACAAAACGTGAATAAAACAATTTGTGCAGGATCAATGGCTACAATGAGAACACTCATTGATGAAACAAAAAAAGTCGTATTTTGTTCATAGCATTATAATTACCGTAGGAAGTCTGAGAGTTTTGATCCTAGCAAACAGTTGCCGGAACGCGCCCTGTCAAAACGAGAATGATGGTTAAAAAAATAAATAAATACTCCCTGCGGCAAAAAAAAGCATGTTCCCCGGAGTCACACGCACCACCCTGGCATAGCCCCCCCCCCCCCCCCCCCGGGGGGGCCACACCCCACTATTTGTGAAGGACTGCTCTAGATGAATTGTTTTTGATTAATTAATGAAAACGTAATAAATCCTCACGCTGCTTTAGGATTATAAATAAAATTTTGTTGCGTGTGTTTGGGTGCGTACAGCTCATGTCCAAGTCCAGTGAAAAGCCCAGGCTGCATCAGATCCCCTCTGAGGATATGGATTCTGAGGACGGCGATGGGACGTCACCCACTGACCAGACCTTTCATAGCAGAGTGAGGGCGGAGTCACTGAGGGAGGCGGAGCCAACCGTCTCGAAAGCCCACGAGGAGCAGCTGAACCTGCAGCATGCACTCATTCTCAACCAGGTTTTAAAGCATACTTTTTATACATTAAATACAAAGACACATGCACAGAAACAACCAGAGAGGTGTAAAACAAATGTTTTTCTTCTGTCCTGTAGATGGCGGCCTGACTCCTACTCTAATAAGATTGTTGCTTTGATGTTAGTTTGAGAAAGTTTTGTTCAAGTCGTTAATTAGCCATAAAAACTAAATGGACAGATTATCCGCTACTACCCCTCTTGTCATGGTCTATCCATAAAATCCAAGTGAAATGTTTTGAAGTTTGTTGTTCGAGAGGCATAAATACTTTTTAAAGGCACTGCAATTGAATGTGTAACAACTACTGAACATTTATTTGTTCTTGTCTAGTCTTTGCTATGGGAGCAGCAGAAGCAGTTGCAGCATATGCATCTACAAATGGAGAACCTGACGGTCCCTGTGTTGCGCAGCAGTGGCGGTGTTGCTTGTGGTTTGGGTGTCCATCGCCCCCTGTCACGTACGCAGTCATCCCCAGCCTCCACTTCTCTCACCCTGCCTGACAAAACCTTGAGCCTGGCCCCTCAGGACCCCAACAGCAAACCACGCTTCACCACTGGTGAGTTAAAGCTCATATGGTTTTATATAAAGGACATTTCTCCATTCAAGGAGGTGCTTCTGCAGGTGAGGGGCTAAATATATGAATATTAAATAGTTGAATTATTATAACTGCAGAAATGACAACAGTTGCTCCAAAGATTTTGCAGGTAAAATGACAATGGTGCACTGGTAAAGGTAGGGCTGAATGGTAGGAGAAAGTAGTGAAAGTAGGTTCACCTTAGTTTTGGAAAACACCCATAGTTCTCTTCATCCATCTATCCATCCAACTGTCTATCCATCTATCCATCCATCATCTTCCGTTTGTTCCATAGTTGGGTTTCAGAGGCAGCAGCTCGAGCAGGCCCAGACATCTTTTTCTACAGCCAGCTCTTCTGGGAGGACCACAAGACATTCCCAGACCAACCGAGGGACATAATCTCTTCAGTGTGTCGTAGGTCTTCCCTGGGGTCTCCTCCCAGTCGGACATGCCCAAAGCACCTCTTTAGGGAGGTGCCCAGGAAGCATCCTTACCAGATGCCCAAACAAACCACCTCAACTGGCTCTTTTCAGTGTGGAGGAGCAGTGGTTCTACTCCGAGTCTCTCCTGGATAACTGGACTTCTCACCCTATCTCTAATGCAGCTACCCTGCAGAGGAAACTCCGTTCAACCGCCTGTATTCACAATCTCACTCTTTCAATCACTACCCAGAGTTCATGACCATAGGTGAGGGTAGGAACGTAGACTGACTGGTAAACAGAGAGCTTCACCTTACAGCTCAGTTCCCTCTTCACTACAATGGACCACCACAGAGTCCGCAATACTGCAGATGCTGCACCAGTCCGTCTGTCAATCTCACCCTCAGTTTTTCCCTCACTCATATTTGGCCACATCCATGTGAACATTAAATAAAATTAAATTGTCACTGGATCCTGATTTAATTTTAGAGCTGGGCTTCAGTGTCAGAGTCGGAGAGATTTATTTGTCATACACACCACTTGTGGTACATGAGGTGGGACGAAACTATGTACACAAGGTCCCAGTTACATCCAACAAAACACGAATTGTAAAGAAAAACACGAGTTTTTCTTTATAACTTTTTAACCCAGAAAATCAATGCGTTTTAAGCTGATAAACATCCGTTTTATGTGTATGTGTGCAGGCCTCGTGTATGACTCTCAAATGCTAAAGCACCAATGTACATGTGGCGATAACAGCAGTCACCCAGAGCATGCTGGGAGAATACAGAGCATCTGGTCCCGACTACAGGAGAGAGGCCTGAGAGGACAGTGCGAGGTACAACACACACACGTTCACACACCTGGTTAAACTGATTTTAATGAGTTTAAAGACGTGTCTGTCTCTCACTTTCCGTCTCTAAAGCTCTCTACAAGATATTTAGAAAATTGTTGTTTTTGGGTTCATACAGAGTATTCGGGGTCGTAAAGCCACTCTGGAGGAGCTGCAGTCGGTCCATAAGGAGCGCCACGTGTTGCTATATGGAACAAACCCGCTCAACAGGCTCAAACTGGACAATCGCAAACTGGCTGGTAGGTAATTCTTCATAATTTAAACATGTATTTGGAAGCACTTCCAAAAAGGGGTCCAAAAAATGTGCTTTATTAATAATGAACTAACCATTATCTAATGATAATCTGATTTTTATAATGTTTTATGTTTAGTTAATGTTTTTGTGGCATTTATTTCAAAGCACTACCATGTTTTAGTTTTTACCCCCCTTTTTTTTTATAGTAAATAAAATTCAATAGTAAAAATAAAATGCTCTGAATCAGAGGTTTGAGTAAATATGGCTTCATTTTATTCCTGCTTCTATTTTCTCAGCAATTCTCTCTCAAAGGATGTTCGTGATGTTGCCATGTGGGGGTGTTGGGGTAAGAGAAAACTTGTGTTTCTAAATGAAAACTGTTCAGTCTGTCTCAATCATGGTTTTAATGAAAGATGGTATTGTTTCAAAGAGAAGCAACAAGGAAAGTAAAAAAAAATAAAAAAACAAAGACGACCCAGTGTTCTTTGAATGACGGCCTGAGTTGAACCGTGACAAGTCAAACTAATGAGAGCAACATGTTCAAGTTTAGGGATGGGGAAAAAAAAAAATCAAATTTTTATTGTGCAAGGCCGATGGACAGTAATGCCAGAGTTTGCATTAAATGAGGAAAAAAAGAACAGAATGGAAAATAAAATCACATAATTTGTGATATGAAAGCACAGATGAAACATTTGAGTCACATCAGCGTTTGAATTTGTTCTTATTTAGGGAAGCATTTTGTTTTAAACGTTACATTTTTCTACACTAGTCAAAATTAATCGTTGTCTCCTGTTTTAAAAAAACAGTATATATTTTTTCTTTTCATCGACAGGTTGATAATGATACCATCTGGAATGAGTCGCACACTTCCACCGCGTCACGCATAGCGGCGGGCAGCGTCGTCGAGCTGTCGTTCAGGGTGGCCAAAGGAGAGCTCAAGGTTAGAATGAAACCTTCCGGTCAAACAGTACGAGGTGTGGCACCGTTTCAGAAACCCAGAACATGGGATCTGATATATTTCTGTAAAAATTACATTTTATATTATTTACAGTTATAAATTTATTTAATTTTATTTATGCAACCACAAGAAAAATTATAATTTGAGTCACCTATTGTACTGCCAAAAAGCTGAAAATCATCATCCAGCATTCTAGTTCTGAACAAAACTTTTTGGATGTATTCATCCACCATAATTTTGGGATTATAAGCCGCTGCGTTTTTGTCACACGTTTTGAACACTGCGATACAATGATGTGGCAATTTTTGTGTGTGTATGTGGGCACGGCTTATATTCAGATAGGCTCAATAGTCCAGAAATTACGGTACACGTTTTGTAATATAGAACTGTAGGATTTTAGTTTGTAAGAACAAATTCTTAAAGTTAAAAAGTTTGTCGCTTTCGTGACAATACATGGACACAAGTTCATCACTTTTCAAACACTGGCTTGTAAGTTAAACTGTAGTTTGTCAGCTACAGCGATCGGGGACACATGTCAACTTAGATTGCTTCAATTAAAAATCACAACGTGTGTATGTGTGTGAATAGATACACAGATGTATACAAAGAGAATCAGAGCTTTTAGAGTTTGTACAAATATTTTTACATTACACAAATTAGGAGAAACAAAAGCAAAACACAAATGAAATCAGACGGAGAATAAAAAGTCACAACGTGAAAATAAATCGTTGTAAATCGGTTTGAGTTATTGCAGGAACACTGCACCGCAAACACCAAACGGACGAGCTCCACTCTTATCACGCATACTCATTTACAAAACAGTAGGCATCTTTACAAATCCGTTATCGTTGCACTTCATGAGCTCCGAGGTTTTGCTTAGTGGTTTCAAAGTCGGTGCCTTTAAAATCCTGTGTGTTGCAGAGATTATGATAATTTGTACAAATATCGCCGTCGTATAAGAGTGTAACTCGGGTGTAACAGTGAAATGTGTGTTCATTTACGTTTTCTGCACAGAATGGCTTTGCTGTGGTCAGACCGCCAGGACATCACGCAGACCCCTCCAATGCAATGTAAGTGTGCGTGTTTGTGTTATGGTGCAAGTGTGTTACAGACTTGATTGCAGTCCATCCAAGTTCTCTCAGCACAGTCAGTACTTTCTTCCAGGATGAAGTTAATAAAATAAGGGCGAGAAGACAAATCTGGAAGATATATATTTATATATATTTTGTTTTTCATGTCTCAAGGGCATTCCAGTTTTCCTGGACTGATGTGCTGACCAAAGCTGAATGCAATCCCGAATAGTTTTATCAGCAGTAGTTTGTCTTGAGTAAATAAATGTATCTGTTTACATTTGCATGCTAAGATAAACTGACAAAAAGTTGTACAAACAGCAGCACCAGCCTTTGTTTAAAACAGCATCCAGTGTTCTTTTTACTTTTCAGACACAATTATTGTCTGCTTCTGTTTTTTGAATGGTTTCTGCCACTTTTGTCACTCAGGGGTTTCTGTTACTTTAACTCTGTGGCCATAGCTGCCAAGCAGCTCCAGCAGAAGCTCAGCGTCAGTAAGATCCTCATAGTTGATTGGGTAAGACATTCTCTAAACTCCTACAACGGGAGCAGACGACAGTGATGTTCAATAGCAAATTAATGTTCTTGTTTATTGCTAATTCTTACGTTTTCCAACATTCAATTATTAGGATGTTCACCATGGCAATGGCACCCAAGAAGTGTTTTACAGAGACCCCAACGTTCTTTATATTTCACTCCATCGCTACGACAATGGAAACTTCTTCCCTGGCAGTGGGTCACCAGCTGAGGTGGGAAAAATCAAATAAATTGTTTGGCCTTGTTTGTTGTATATTCACATAAATATAAACTGAATAAAATGTGTTCAGGTTGGTTCTGGAGCTGGCGAGGGCTTCAATGTGAACGTGGCATGGACAGGAGGTCTGGACCCACCCATGGGAGATGCTGAGTACCTCGCTGCTTTCAGGTAGAACCACTTCCTGCTCTGTTCTGTTGCATGCTTATTAATCCAGGTAGACAAATCCAACAAATCAGGTCCTCTGGACGGATTCTTCTTGTTGAAATGTTCCATCTTTTATCTGAAAGTCTTCTTCATTCAGAGGAGCTGCAACAAACCCAGTCTTAGAAGCAGCACCTTCTCATAGTGGATCAACCAGTTTGATGGTGGCAGCCAAAACTAGTTCTCATAACAAATTTAAAAAAAGACCATCGAACGATCAACTGATTAATGCCCTGATGGCTGCTTGCTATTCACAGAGGGCTGAGTGATACTTTCAATAAAAGCATTGTAAGAGGAGGACAGTTGGACATGGAGGCCTCCACCCCTGTTATCGATGGATGGGTTCTTTTCACAAAGATGGCCTCCTTTACTCCTCTCTCAAACCATCGTTCCTCTCTATCCAGGATGTGAACCTCTTCATCCCTGAAAGAGTGACCGCTGGCCTGGAGATGAGTGTAGACCGCAGAGTCCTGGCCTGATGATGTTGATCTTCTGTGCTGGGCCATCCTTTTGACCAGTGGCTGTTTAGTTTCCCCGATGTAAGACTGATCACAGCCCTCCTGACACTGAACAGCATACACAATATTACTCTGTTTATGCCGGGGGACCAGATCTTTGGGAAAAAACAGTCTTTGCCGTAATGTATTTCAGGGTCTGAAAGCCAGCCACTAGTTTTGTCTGTCACCAGCAAACTGGTTGATCCACTAAGAGAAGGTGCTGAAGACCGAGTTTGTTGCAGCTGCTCTGACTGAAGAAGTCTTTTGGATAAAAGACAAATTTCAACAAAGATGAATCCATCCAAAAGACCTGACTCAACTTTGTTACATTTCCGGCTCTGTTTTATTCATGCAACATAAACCTCATAAAAAAAGACACACAGTGTGTGGATACTGAGTCACAATTCACACTATTGTTTTTCTGTTCATAGTTTCTTTGTTTTATAGTTTCATTCTCTTTCGTGTACTTTGTTCTATTTTAACCATTCATATTCATACTTTTCACTCATTCAGGATTAATGCACTGACTTCTAATTTTTTGTAACTTTTTACTTTTCAAATTCTTTTAACTTTATTTAAAGTAAAATTCTCCACAGAAAATCATTGAGATCTCTTCAGATTGTTTAAAAACATGTTTCCTTCTACAATCTGCTTCTGTGTACTTGCTCTGTTTTTTTTCCCTTTATGCTTTGTTTAGCTTTTAGCTACTGTCTTGCAATGTTTTACCTTTAACTATTATTCTGCCTTTTTAAACTTAACTTATAGCTACCATTCTGCTACTTTTAGCATTTAGCTTATAGCTACCATTCTGCTACTTTTAGCATTTAACTTATAGCTACCATTCTGCTACTTTTAGCATTTAGCTTATAGCTACCATTCTGCTACTTTTAGCATTTA